GAATGAGGTTACCCTGGCCCAAAAGACCAAAAATCGTATGTTCTCCCTCATATGCAGACATTATATCAAGGGCAAACACAACAAGGGGATTGGACTTTGATCACAAGATAAAAGAGAGAGCACACAAGGGAGGGGTGAGGATAGGTAAGACACCTAAAAAACTAGCTAGCATTTGTTGCCCTCAACTCAGAGAAACTAAAGCAGATACCTTAAAAGCAACTGAGGCCAATAGGAAAAGGGGACCAGGAACTAGAGAAAAGGTTAGTTCAAGAAGAATTAACCTAGAAGGTAACACCCACGCACAGGAAATCAATGTGAGTCAATGCCCTGTATAGCTATCCTTATCTCAACCAGCAAAAACCCTTGTTCCTTCCTATTATTGCTTATACTCTCTCTTCAACAAAATTAGAGATATGGGCAAAATAGTTTCTGCTGGGTATTGAGGGGGTGGGGAGGAGAGGAGAGAGAGAGGGCGGAGTAGGTGGTAAGGGAGGGGGTGGGGGGAGGGGGGAGAAATGACCCAAACATTGTATGCACATATGAATAAAAAAAAATAATAATTAATAATTTAAGAAATAAAGGGACTCTGCTGACTGTAAAGCACAGAGATATATTAAAAAAAAAAAAAAAAGAGGTGGGTGCAGTAGTCCTTCTAGAAGCCCAGGGAGCACATGGGGCATGTCTGAAGAACTTCACTGGTTGAACCAAGAGGACTTGGTGAGTGACCGGCTTCAAGTGGAGTGAGGAAGAGAGAGATTGAAACCTTGTTGGGTTGAGGAGGCCTTTTCAAAAATGGGAGGATGACTTTGGGAAAGTGGTCAAGTAGTCAAGGCATTTCCCAGGGGGGGAGACAGACTGTGCACTTGGGAGGAGAGGGGTGAAAAGGTGACATTCTTTCATCTTGTCACTAGATTCTAGAGTAAATAGGTAGATAGCATCCTACCCACTGGCCCATGTCAACCCAAGATGACAGGACAATGTGAACTAAGTAAACAGTGGCCCAGAGGCACCAGGCCTATTCCTGCAGCTGCCCATCTTCCTCTCCTCTCCCACCCTTGCACTGTTCTTCCTTGGGGCTTGGGGATCCCACTCCTCCTTATTAGAGAAATGAAGCAGGTGGGCATGGGGGTTTAGCACAAGTGATTTCCAAAGGTTGTTCTATGCCCTGACTGTCCAGACTGTCGATGTGTGCACTGCTTGAGCATCTGGGTGTGACTGTGTGCACCTCTGTGGGTCCATGTGTCTGGGTATGTCTGTGCCTGTGTGTTCAGGTGCGGTATATATGTGTGTTTTTAACACCCAAGGAGGAATGCCTAGAGGTGGAAGAGGCGAGGAGGGGACTCTAGTTAGAGATCTAGCCTGGGCAAAGGTATGTTGGCAGTACTGTGCAGTGTATGCTGGGCAAAGAGAGTATTGATCACTTCCTGCTGTGGGGCTGAAGACAGAGCCAGGACAGAGGGAAGGAACAGTGGAGACTGGGCTCAGCCCTCCAGGATACAGGAGGAGGTCTTCTCCTCAGGAGCACCCGCTCCTGAACCTAGGAGAAGGAGTGTCTGGGAAGGAGGCTATGAACAGACCATCCCTACAGCATGTAAGCTGGGTGTAGACAGTGGGATAGGATGGGAAGTGGGGTATGCAGAGGGTACTCTGACCAGGACAAGCACACCAGATCCCTTCTCTGCCTCTTTTGGCCAAGGTTAGAGCAGAGGAGGCAGCCCTGGGATGGCTTGGCCTGGCTGGCTTCCCATGACCTGGAGCCCACACGGTTTCCACCTCCCTGTGTCTTTAGGAGCCCCCTGCGGCAGCTGCCTGCCTTGAAAAATGCTGGAGGCCGGGTGTGGTCCTAGGCCGGGAAAACCTGTTTTTTCCTGTTTCCTGCAGAGCTTCCAGCAGCCAGTCCAAGCCTGTGCATTCATGAGTGAGCAACCTGAGCAGGCGCTGAGCATCCTGACAGCGAGAGCAGGGGCTGGTCAGGTACAGGTGTGCAAGGCGGGGCCACGGTTGGGAGGCTGGGCTGGTGCTTGGTATTGCGCGTGTGCGCACAGAACCTGGGTCAGATTCAGGGCATCAAAGATGGGTGCCTTGCCCTGCTTCTTTATCCCAGACTGTGATGAATTCAGGTTTTGGCCCAGATAGATCTGGCCTTGTGTGTCAAGCCTAATTTTTCCAATTCCTGGCAGTGTGACCTTAAACAAATAACTTAATCTAATCTTTATGGCATTATCTATCAAAGGGTGGACATGGAAGTATAAAGATGCTTCACAGAAGCTGCTCAGCCCTAGCCTGGTCCCTACAGAACTGGAGGATAGCAGAAGGAATCCAGGATGGAGAACTGATCAAACTAAGCCAGAGATGGGCCAATCTCCTGGCTGGCCTCAGATAGCTGACTGGTCTCTAGAATACCTACATCTGACCCTCTGATGATTTCCTGGCCCTGGCAGAGGACAGAGGTTTTGGGCCCCTGAATCTGTTGGAGGGGAGACAGCTCAGGAATTTGTCTGGGACAGGAGGGCTGGGCCCCCAGGACAGTTGGGCTGACTTCTGGCCACCTAGGTTTAGCAGCTGAGAAATCTTTAAGCACCATTAATCTCCCATAGACCAGGCCCTCCAAGGTGGGAGGAAAAGGAGAGGCACCTTTATCAAGCTCAACTCCTCTAGGATCCCACAGCCTCTCATGGTTCATTTGTTCATTCATTCATTAGCTCACTCACTCATTCATTCATTCATTCTCTATTTCCTGCAATAGCTACCATAGGTGGGGCCTCTCTCTGGGGAATAAGGACAGAGAAAAGCATCAGATGGACCCAGACCTCAAGGAGCACCTGGAATGTATTAGAGTAGAGGGTGGAAGGACAAATTGCCAAGAAGTCCTGAGAATGGCCTGAGGGGCACTGGAAGAGGGGGAGGACTGCAGTGATAAGGCACATTTGAGCCTGAGTGTGGGTGGGTTCTGGAAAGACTTTCCACACACAAAGTACAGCATCTACAAAGCAGGGAAGCCTGGAAGATTCCTCAAACAGTTCATATCTTCATGCTCCCGGAGCAGGACCAGCCAGAACTGGACACAGCAGGGCTAGTGACAGGTGAGAAGGGCCGGTGAGAAAGTCAAGTAGAGTAGTCTTCACACGGCCTGGATTCAGGAGAGGCAGAGAGGAGGCCTGAGGGAGAAGACCAGAGACTTGGCTATCTCTGGAAAACAGGGACTGGGGACTAGGAAGATGACCTCACAGTTTGGTGAGCTGGCCTGTGGAGGAAGAGGGTAGGCAGGGTCAGTCTGGACCACAGCCACAGTGATGGAGTCCCCAGCTGGCCTGGGGCAGTGGCCAGGATTTCTTAAAACAGGTGGAAAGGGCAGTGCTCTCCGTTCACAGGGAAGTCTCCACTCCACCTCTCAGTGTCAGAGATTCCACCATTAGTGACCGGCAGAAAACTTTGTGCAGAGTGGTGAGATGTTAACTGTGGAGGAGGAGGGGCCTGATCCACCTCTGAGGAGGGACCAGTTGTGCTCAGCCCCGGAGCAGGAGCAGAGCAGCAGTGTGGGGGAGATGGGTATGCACCTGGAGCTGGAGGAAGCCACCCTTCCTGTTCTCAGTGGGGTGAAGTTCCTTCTGAGGGAAGTTTGGGGGCTACAGTTCTCCAAGATTGGGGTTTGGCCCATAAGAGGTCTGAGGATCTACCTGGGACTCCTGCTATGATTTTTAGATTGCCTTCCAGGACTTTGGAGCACTTCTGTGACCTTCATACAGGGATATCTGTCCCCTGCCTCCCAGCTGAGAGAGCTCTTTTTCTTTTACCTTCTTTATTTCCTCCCCTGCCCTCCATTCCCCTCCCTCCCTTCCTTTTTTCTTGACAGGGTTTCACCATGTAGCCCTGGCTGGCCATGAACTCATGATCCTCCTGCTCAGCCTCTTGAGTGCTGAGACTACAGGTGTGCACCACCTACCTAGATCGAGGTCTGAGAGAGCTCTTAGTGGTCCATGGGTAGGGTGAGGAGAGGAAGAAGGTGGCATCCTGCTCTCCAGGCCCTTACTGTCTGCTAGCTGACCAGATACCATGTGACATGTACTCAATAGGGACAAAGTAAGGGAACATCAGGACAGTGATGGTGTGCAAGGAGAAACTGGCTAGGCTTGGAAGAAGCTAAATTTGCCTTACAAAAGAAGCCTTCCTCTACTCCCTACTCCAGTGCTACCCCAGACCTCAGGCTTCCCTGGACTTTTCAGGAAGGTCATTATTCCATCTGGTAGGCTGGACTACTGTGTGCAGATGTAGAAAATTCTAGAGTATAAGTATACCTAAAAGAAAAATTTTTTGAACATAGAATGAATGATGGAAGAGGAAGGTTCTTAGAAATACTCTAGCCTCCCCAGAGAGGAGAAAGGTGAACTTTGTGATGGCTCCAGAGATGTGGGCTGCCCTGGCCAGAAACACCTCAGCAGGCAGTGGGCACTAGGGTACAACGGAGTGTCTGCATCAGGTCCCCTTCCCATGAATCTGAAATTATACTTCTCTGGGACCCCACCCTTAGGCCCTCTGATTCTAGAGCTCAGAATTCTAGATCTCAGAATTTTCTTATCCTGAGGTTCTAGAGCAAAGTCAGCATGTTTCTTTTAAAGTTACATAGTAAACATTTTGAGACTTTGCAGGGGTATGGTGTGTTCCAACAAAGCTTCACTTACAAAAACAGACTTGTGGGTGGATTTGGCCCTGGGCTATTGTTTGCCCATTCTGTTCTAAAGTTTTAGAATTAGGTGATGGCTGATATTCATGGACCTCACACATTCTTGAGGTGGTAGAGTTTGGAGGTTCTGGGTCCAGGGAGAGATGCAGGTCAGATGACAACAAAAGCCCTAGACATAGTTAAGCACATCTTAACAGGGAATCTCTGGGCACTTGGAGTCCCTCTTAGCCCTGGTGAGGTGGGTGTGTCAGGCTACTTCACTTTGAGCCTCAACTGTGACCTGATGACTTCCTCCCCACACATCCCTTCCCTACAGGTGATGGCAACAGACCTGAGCCCCTGGAATGACACCACCAATGACACCTGGGATGGAGATGAGCTGGGCTACAGGTGCCGCTTCAACGAGGACTTCAAGTATGTGCTACTGCCCGTGTCCTACGGTGTGGTGTGCGTGCTCGGGCTGGGTCTGAACGTTGTGGCACTCTACATCTTCTTGTGCCGCCTCAAGAACTGGAATGCCTCCACCACGTATATGTTCCACTTGGCTGTGTCCGACTCACTGTACGCCGCCTCCTTGCCACTGCTGGTCTATTACTACGCCCGGGGTGACCACTGGCCCTTCAGCACAGTGCTCTGCAAGCTGGTTCGCTTCCTCTTCTACACCAACCTGTACTGCAGCATCCTCTTCCTCACCTGCATCAGTGTGCACCGGTGCCTGGGCGTCCTGCGTCCTCTACACTCCCTGCGCTGGGGCAGGGCCCACTATGCCCGCCGGGTGGCAGCAGTCGTGTGGGTGCTGGTGCTGGCCTGCCAGGCACCTGTGCTCTACTTTGTCACCACCAGTGTGCGCGGGGCCCGTATCACCTGCCATGACACCTCAGCTCCTGACCTGTTCAGTCACTTTGTGGCCTACAGCTCTGTCATGCTGGGCCTGCTCTTCGCAGTGCCCTTTGCTGTCATCCTGGTCTGTTACGTGCTCATGGCACGGCGGCTGCTCAAGCCAGCTTACGGGACCACGGGAGGCCTGCCACGGGCCAAGCGCAAGTCAGTGCGCACCATTGCCCTGGTGCTGGCTGTCTTCACCCTCTGCTTCCTGCCTTTCCACGTCACCCGCACCCTCTACTACTCCTTCCGCTCACTTGATCTCAGCTGCCACACCCTCAATGCCATCAACATGGCATACAAGATCACCCGGCCACTGGCCAGTGCCAACAGTTGCCTTGACCCTGTGCTCTACTTCCTGGCAGGGCAGAGGCTTGTCCGCTTTGCCCGAGATGCCAAGCCACCCACAGACCCTACCTCTGTCCCCCAGGCTCACTGCCGGCTAGGCCTGCACAGGTCTGGCAGAAGTGACACCAAGAGGAAAGTGTTGGCCAGCAGTGAGGACTCCAGGTCCATTCAAGCAGGGAGTGAGAACACTAAAGACATCCGACTCTAGGACCTGAGCTCCTCGGGCCTGTGCAGGTTTATGTGGCAGAGCTATAGGGGATCAGGGCTTGTTCAAACAGGACAGTGTCCCCAGATACAGACTATTAGTGACTCTGTCATTTGGCAAGGTCTCAGGATGCTCTCCATGTGGTCCAGAGAGTCAGCCGGCTCCGTAGATAGCCCCCAGTCATCATTTGCTGGTGAGAATTGGGGAATCAGGTTTGGAGAAAGGCAAGTGTTCAGGGCCCGTGCCACCTGATTCCCGTGCAGATAGTTGGCCATTCCTGCCCCAGTACCTAGGCTGGGGTCCTGCATAATCAAGTCAAAGGAAGAAACAGGCCCAGAGAGGAAGATAACTTATCAAGATCACCCGGTGGAGTCTGGGCCTGAGCTAGTTGGAGTGGGTATGGAGTCTCAGACCAGAGAACCCCAGTACATAGTCAGGGCTGAGTTCCTTCAGTAGTCTGGGGTGGGACTAGGTGCCACAGTGAACCCAGCTCAAAGGACTGACTACCCCTGGCCCAAGAGATGAACATCTGGAAACCGATGTTGTAAACCATCTGGAGGCTGTGCTAGGCTGGGAGTGTTAGAGGCTGTAATTACACTAAAGGTTGTGTTGCCTGCTGAGCTGTGCTCTGTCGTGTGGTGGGAGGACAGGGACATGGCCTGGGAAGCTTTCAACATCCACACAAAGGCCTCTCCAGCCTGTTCTCATGTGCTGCCAGCCTCCCAGGTAGCTAAGGATTACAAGTGTGAGCCATTGGCACCCAGCTACATTCTAGGGTCTTTGTTTCTGTTCATGTAGCTGGTGTCCCTCTGAGCTTTCTTGGTGACTACCTCTTCAGACTGTCCTGGGTCTTTCCTGCTGGCCTGAGCCTATCTCTGTCCTGCCAGCTGCTGCTGAACCCCATCCTTCCAGGGGAAGGAGCCCCTTCCCCGGTGAAAAGCTCTGAGCTCTCAGCCCTGCTGAGGCGTGGAGGTAGGGAGTTGTGTCATGACTTTGAGAGCCCCCTACTCTGCATCTGGGCTGGGGCTGGAGCTATGGTCATCAAAGGCCCAAGTTCCCCTAGTCCCCATTCCTGTCCTACAGCTGCTCTGGTGACCCGGATAATCCAGCATCCCCTGTAGATGGAGACCACACTGCGGTCCCAGTCCCAGGAAGCTTTTCCTAAACCACTGCCAGCAGATTTCTGAGGACATGGAACCTGAGGGACAGAAGGGAGGGCTTACTTACCATCTAGTTCTGTGGCATGGGTGGGGCTTGGGAATGGAGACCCTAGAGGAACCAGGGATGGGCCTAGTCAGACTGCCTGGTCCCTCAATATGAACATCTAGCTAGACTGCTTGCCTGGAGGGTGAGGTTTCTGACCTTGCCGCCTTGTGCTATTTTCAGCCCAAGTAAGAACAAGATTTTCCACTCCTGGCCCCAGACTATTGTCCAGCAGTGACGTGGGGTGACCCCTCTGTCCTCAAAAATATCTCCTCTTACCCTCTGGACCTCATGGCCCCCTCCCAACCTCCCCACCCTGACATCACTTCCTAGGGCTGTTGACTCCTGAAGGCCACTATGAAAGGGCTCATGAGTCACCCGACAGGACATAGGGGTTATCCAGCCCAGCTGCAGATTCAAGTGCAAAGGGGGGCAGGGCCCTGTCCAAGGTCAGTCCTCAGATCAGTGTGGTGCCTGGGCATGAACCAGGGGCTCAGGCTGCTCCTACTTCCAGGCCACCCCCTTCAGGGCAGGTCTGCATCTGTGTTGAGAATCCTGTGCCACCTATGCTGCCCAGCTTTTCCTTCAGAGCTGTGACAACCAGGGCGTAGGGCAGGGGGCAGGAAGAGAGCAAGGTGGGCTTCTGCAGCTGATGTCCTCAATGAGCTCCAGGTGATAGGGCATGGCCTCTGGCAGCAGAAGTCTTTCCCTGGGGTGTCCCAGTATTCATAGAGTCCCCAGAGGACATCCCACCCTTACCCTCCAAGGTCAGGAATGGTCCTGGACAACATGCTTTCCTCAAGTAGTTCCAGCAGTCTTGATTCAGCTCAGGCCACCAATGCTGCCCCTCTGCCTCCCTCCCTCTGTCATGACAAATTTGAGGTGGTCTGCTTAGAATCAGCCATATGGGCAGAGGAACTCATGTAGTGGCCCATGTCCCAGACACCAGACATTTAGCAGCTGGAAATGGGAGAGAGGGAGTGAGCAGCAGTTATGGCTTGCCCTAAGTGACACAGGCCACAAGTGGATGAGTTGAGATGGACTCCAGTTTCCCTGATGTTCACAGTCATTTCCTGTCCAGTGTTTCACACCACTTACAACTCCTGAAGTTCAGAACCAAAGAGGCAGTGTAGGGAGGATGGGGTTCAGAATATCACCTCCACTTTTCCAGCATGGCACCTTAGGCAAGTCGTTCCATCTTGTAGCACTTACTTTTGTTGTGTCAGTGAGATGCTCCCTCTCTTGCAGGGCTTTGGGAGGCTTACCTGAATTAACATACATGAAGCTCTCAGCACAGAGCCTGGCACATGGCTTACCATTTATACGCCAGGGACACAACAGCAAACTAATGTCCTCCTGAAACAGACACAATTGAATATGTCACCACATTGGGGTAAATGTTTGGGAGCAGAGGACAGTGCCTGGTTAGTGAGCAACAGGGGCCCTGCTTAGTCCAAGAACCCCTGTGGCCAAGGTCTTCCCAGGCTGTGAGAAGAAAGATGCAGGTCCATCCTGTGTATGGTGTGGTTCCACCTCCACCCTGGTGGCACTGGGTGGCTTTCAGGCAGATGGGCCTGTGTGTGTTTCCAGAAACTGTTCAGGTGCCTGCCTAGAGGTCAGCAGAGAGAGGGCACAGGGAGAAGATGAAAAGGAGGAGAGTACTCCAAATATCAAGTGGCAGAGGCAGTCCCTGCAGGGTGGAGAACTCCTACCCACCCACAGCAGCCAGCTCAGCTGTTTCTCCTTGACTGCTGATGCTCGCCATGATCCAACCAAAAACCTGGAGGTTCAGGATAGGAGGCTGGGCCAAATCAGGCAGTGAATTTGGCAGCTTTTGTGACCTGAAGCTGCCTGCCTGCCCTCTCTGGGCTCCCTTTGAGAGGTCTACTTGTCCCTCAGTTAAGGCATCAGCCACCAACACCTTCAAGGCACAAATAACAGTTGCTTCCCTGGCATTGCCAAGCCCACACTGGGCTCTTGGTTCTGTGGACTGGAGTGGAGGTAGTGGTTCTCTCTGACATAAGTGACCAGAGAGATGAATGGATTTCACTGCCACCACACAGGGCCACACATTAGAATGTTGGCTGCCTCTACTGCCTGTGGGTACAGGGAGGAGCTTGGCCAGGGCCTGGATTGCAGGGTGAGGGAGGTGCTGGGTGGGGGAGGGGTAAAATCAAGCCCCAGGGTCAAACTCCCTTTCTCCTCTGCCCCAACCACTGTGTGGCTTGGGCGACCCACTTCCCTTCATTGAGCCTCAGTTTCTCCATCCTTAACACTTGCCCCTGTCTTGGCTCCAGCTCAGGCAGGTGTCCCATCTCTGCCCTGTCCCAGCCAGGAACAAAGGGCAAGGAAGAGCCTATCACTCATTGGCCAGAACCCTGTCCCCTGGGGATCCACCCACCACCTTGGCCTATTTTCAGCCCTTGCAGTTGGAGAGAAAAAGCACTTTCCATTCCCAGCACAATGGTGCCGTGGACCATTGTCCAGCAGTGATGTGGGGGATCCGCCTGCCCCAAAATAGCCCCTGTGCCCACCCTCGGGGCCTCCCTGCCCTGCTCCTCCCCTCCCCTCCCTGATATCATTTCTTGGGGCTGTTAACTGCTGAATGCCACTAAGAAACAGCACACAATGAGACACAATGAGTTGGACTCAGTTTCTCTCCTGGCAGAGACTCCAGAGATTATCTGGCTTCTTAGTGGGACTGGAAGTCCCAGAGAGGGTTGTGCTCTGCACAAGGTCACAAAGCAGTCAGGGTGGAGCTTAGATATAAGACTAGGGCTATTCCTCCTGCCTCCGTCACTCTCATTAACTCTACTTTGTGCCTCCTAGAATTGAGAGCTCACCTTTAGAGGCCCGGGAGGGAAGTCCTGGCAACAAGCCTGAGTGGTGTGAGTGGGATGGGGGTGGGAGGAATGCATCTTGGGTTCTGACCTTGGAGAAGTGAGTACAGTGCAGAGGCCTGAGCTTAAAGCCCGTTCTTCCCCCATTCAATTTTAGTTTTAGCAAATATAGCTATTAGGAACTAAATGTTTGTGTTCCCCCAAAATTGGTATGTTGAAATCTTAATTGCTAGGGTGATGGTATTAGAAGAAGGAGCCTTGGGGAGGTAATAGGTCATGAGGGTAGAGCCCTTATGAGTGGCATTAGTGCTTGCATTAGCTTTCCGTTACTGGAACAAAATACTTGAGATAATTGACGTATAAAGAGAAAAGGTTTATTGTGACTCAGAATTTTAGAAGTTTCATCCCATGATGAGTTGGCTCTGTTGAACACCATGGTGGGAGCATGTGGTACAGCAAAACCATTTACCTCATGATGGGAAAGTGAAAGAGAAGAGAAAGGGTCCAGGGACCCACTATCCCTTTAAGGATACCCCTTTCCCAATAACCTAACACCTCCAACTAGGCCCTACCTCTTTACGTTTCCATTATCTCCCAATAGCCAGAATAGCAAGTCTTTAACACATGGGTTTTGGGGTCCAAATTATAGTAGTGCCATTATAAAAGGAATCCCAGAGAGCTCTCTTACCTCTTTCCACCACGTGAGTTTACAGAAAGAAGTTGTCAGTCTGTAACTGGGAAGAGAAAGCCCTCGCAAGAAAACCCAGCTATGGGAGCGCCACCCTGACCTTGAACGTTTAGCCTTCAGAACCATGAGAAATAAATGTCTGCTGTTTATAATATGATATTTTATTAGAGAAGTCTGAAGGAAAGCAGTGGCTCAGGATTCAAATATCATCTCTGGGGAAAAGAGAGAGGAGGTTGGGGGACATAGGGCAGTGGAGACAGGGGCAGGGTTGGGCCCAGATCTGCCACCACCATCCCTCAAGCTCAGTTTCTTCTTCTTCCGTCAGGTGATTGAACAGTGAGGACACAGCATGGCACAAACACACAACTGCTTTGTGTCCTTCCCAGCCACGCTGGCTGCTTGGTGATGTGCAATTTCCCTTTCCCATCCGTAAACTGCACAAGGGAAATGCTAACACTGAGTCACTTTGGTAACAAAGTTCAGTGGAGTTGAAGGTTTCAACCCCTACTTGATTTAGTGCTTACCCTTCTTCCCAATGTTGGGAGACCCTCCTCTCTCCCCCCCGCCCCCTCTCCTCTGGCTGTTGGGGAGGATGGGGAGGAAAGGGACCATTATCTCTTCCAATATACTGCTACCACCTTCTCTTGCTGTCATGCTGCTCTGGTCTTGACAATCTGGCCATCAGGGCTCCTCTGCGTGGAGCCCTTCAAATGCCTGTCTACCCCTGTATAAAAGTCTCTCCATTAAACTATCCTGAAGTTACGCCATTTGAGTGTGTCATATCTTTTCTGCTGTGGTCTCCACTGACACCCTCAGTTTCACCTGAGGAATTTTCCTGAAGCACTCCCTCACCTGGCTTGAGGTAGGAAAACTCTTGTCCCTTCCCCACCCCATTCCCACAGCAGGCTGAGACCTTGAGGCTACAGAGTTGTCTTCAAGTCCACGGAGCACAGGATCCAGCACGGAAAATGAAAATGGAAGGTTGTAGAGGATTAGGGTAATGAACTCTAAGGAGCCAACTAACTCAGTAGTTTTTAAGGCTTAGAAAGTGCTGCTGGGTGCCAGTGACTTATGCCTGTGATTGTATCTACTTGGGAGGCTGAGATCAAGAGGATGGCAGGCTTGAGGACAGTCCTGGGCAAATAGTTCTCAAGACCTTATCTCCAAAATAACCAGAGCAAATGGACTGGAGATGTGGCTCAAACAGTAAAGCACCTGCTTTGCAAGTACAAAGCCCTGAATTCAAACTCCAGTTCCACCAAAAAAAAAAAAAAAAAAGAAAGAAAGAAAGTGCAACATCACAGTATCTAAGCCTTCCTGTGCTCCGCCTTATGTCCTGACATCAAATACCAAATCAGCAGGCACATGGATGGAAAGTGCCCCTTGCTGTGGGATTAAACGTGTAGGCTAGCTTTTATGAGCACAGCGATTGTAATATGTAGGGGAAGAAATGCAAAGCCTGCTGCATGGGTTGACTCACAGTGTGTGCTGTGCATATGTGTTCTCGTGTGCTGAGTGATCACAACTGTGTTCCAGGGAGAATGGGGGGTGGGGGGGAGGAGGGGAAGTCCTGACCAGAATGAGCAGATACCTGGAGACCAGAGGGCACAGGTGGGCAACCAGTCTGTGGAAGGTCAGAGTAGGACCTTGAAGATGCTAAGAGGTCAAACCAAAACCAGGAGAGGGACAAAAACAAGCTTGGGAATGGCAGGAAGAGATGGAGTGCAGACAGGATCTAGCACTTCTCTCCCTCCCTACTCTTCTTCCTTTCCCCTCTCCACTCCTCACTCCCTCCCCTTTGCCCCTTCTGTTTTCTAAATTCCTGGGAACAAAAGTAGGCTGACAGAAGTCCAGAGCTTCATCCCAATTCACTACCTCTTAGCACTGGCTCTTCCCTGGCCCTGCTTAGTCTACTGAGGCCCCAAGGTTGGTTGGTGTTGTGCTGCTGCCCCCTGGTGGCCAGAGCTGATTGCAGCGGCATGAGATGAGAGCAGGGTCTCTAGAGTTGCCAGTGGAATGACAAGAAAATGATCAAGTTGCAGCCCGACTTTGAGGAGTAAGGAGTGGAGATGTGGGCAAGACCAAGGATTGGAACAGAATACAATGTGCCAGCCAGGCGATGGCATCTGACTGAGTCATAATGTCTGCCTCCCATGTCCCTAGCTAGGGATGGAGCACATTCTGTCCTGAACATCTCTTTGCCTGTGGGAGAGGCCTCCTCACAGCCAGGACTTAGGGACACAGCATGTCTGTTTTTCAGTCCATGCAGCCCATGCAAGGATATAAGCAGAGCCCCCTCTCCAGGCCAGGCACCCCAACTCTCCCCTCAGCCATACTCTAGCAACCCTTTCCCCACTATAGACTCCTGCAATATGTATGTCCCTGGAGGGCTTTGTCTTCTCACAGGGTGGCACCCAAAGATACACTCCGTCCTCTGTGACCAGCACGACCATCCTTCCAGCAGCCCCTGTGGCTGCATCTTGGCAGAAGGCAGGGTTCACCTGTAATTTGGATCCTACCAGCAGGTCAGGAGGTAAAATAAGTCTGACTCAGGTGGAAGGGGAGGCCCAAGTGTTGGTCCCTTGTGTGGAGCAAGAAGCACAAGGTGACAGGGAAAGACTGGGCCAGCCCCAGGCCCACCCTCTCAGCCTCCTGTGAGACCTGCACACTTCCCACTCACAGCTTTACTGACCTAAAGTTAGATGTCCTTCACAAAGTTCAGAAGGCCTCCCGGGGCCCCACAGACGTGTGTATGAATCCTAGCTCTCACATTGACGCCATTTCTCTTTTCCATGGGTGACTTGGGTGTCTTAGTTTCCTGATCACACCCAAAGGGAAAATCATACTTCATATTCTGTTTTCACCATCTATGTCCTCCTGCTAGAATGAATTTTCCCAGAAAGAACAGAGGTGTCTGCTTTCTTCTTTGTGCTGGCTGAGACATACTAAGCACACAGCAGTTACTTGGTTTTATTTATTTACTTATTTTTGCAGGGCTGGGGCTTGAACTTAGGGCCTCATGCTTGCCAGGCAAGCACTCTATCACTTGAGCCACTCTGCCAGCAGCAATTACTTGTTGAATGAATGAATAAATATAGTTTGTAGTGAGGAATAAATGAGATAAGCCATGAAAACTCTTTTTTTTTTCCATGAAAACTCTTGAAGAATACGTAGTGCCAGTAGGAATTACATGGTAATTCCTTTCCTTACAAAGTAAATCAAATTTGTTATTTCACATGAGTTTCACAATAGTCCTTTAAGCAGGAATCTTATTTTTTTTTAATTTTTATTTTATTCATATGTGCATACAATGTTTGGGTCATTTCTCCCCCATTCCCCCTGCCCCCTCCCTTACCTGCCCCCCGCTCCCTCCCTTACCCCCGCTTACCCCTCGCTACCAGGCAGAAACTATTTTGCCCTTATCTCTAATTTTGTTGAAGAGAGAGTATAAGCAATAATAGGAAGGACCAAGGGTTTTTGCTGGTTGAGATAAGGATAGCTATACAGGGAGTTGACTCACATTGCTTTTCTGTGCATGTGTGTTACCTTCTAAGTTAATTCTTCTTGAACTAGCCTTTTCTCTAGTTCCTGGTCCCCTTCTCCTATTGCCTCAGTTGCTTTAAAGTATCTGCTTTAGTTTCTCTGCGTTGAAGGCAGCAAATGCTGCTAATTTTTTAGGTGTCTTACCTATCCTCACACCTCCCTTGTGTGCTCTCGCTTTATCATGTGATCAAAGCCCAATCCCCTTGTTGTGTTTGCCCTTGATCTAATGTCCGCATATGAGGGAGAACATACGATTTTTGGTCTTTTGGGCCAGGCTAACCTCACTTAGGATGATGTTCTCCAATTCCATCCATTTATCAGTGAATAATAACATTTCATTCTTCTTCATGGCTGCATAAAATTCCATTGTGTATCGATACCACATTTTCTTAATCCATTCGTCAGTGGTGGGGCATCTTGGCTGTTTCCATAACTTGGCTATTGTGAACAGTGCCACAATAAACATGGGTGTGCAGGTGCCTCTGGAGTAACCTGTGTCACAGTCTTTTGGGTATATCCCCAAGAGTGGTATTGCTGGATCAAATGGTAGATCAATGTCCAGCTTTTTAAGTAGCCTCCAAATTTTTTTCCAGAGTGGTTGTACTAGTTTACATTCCACCAACAGTGTAAGAGGGTTCCTTTTTCCCCTCATCCTCGCCAACACCTGTTGTTAGTGCTGTAAGCAGGAATCTTATTGTGATTGATTGATTTATCCAGCAGATATTTAACAAGTACCTATTATGTGCCTGGTAGTTTTCAATATGCTTGGAAATAAATCATTGGCGAATGAAAAAGTCAAAGCTGCTGCCCCTGCACTTACATTCTAATAGGGAAGAGAGAGATAATAGGCATGTATAATAAAATGTAAATTAATGGCGGGTTAAAAGGTGACAAGTGTTGTGGGAAAACTTAGAGCAGGAAGAGGGGTTGGGAGGGCATGGAGGTTGAAATTTTAAACAAGATGTCAAGTGAACCTTGGGAGAGTGTGACTCTAAGAGGTCATTTGGGCAAATACATGAAGGAGGCGTAAGAGTTAGCCAGTAGGGAGAAGCCTGCTGGTGTGGAGTGGGGCCAGGAGGAGAGGAGGTCAGAGGTCCAGGAGATCTGGTAGAGCACTGAGCCAGACGGGAAGCCACAGTGGGGTTCCGAACAGGAGACTTCCCTTTCAGGAAGAAAGTCCAGCTGCTGTGTTGAGAACAGACCTCAGTGGATCAAGGCCAGAAACAGTGAGAGCAGAAAGGTGGAGCTGTTGCTGAAACTCCATGAAAGCCTGACCTGGGGCTAGGGCCAGGTGGCAGCAATGGAGGGGAGAAGTGGCCTGATGCCAGTGTATATTGAAGGAAGCGCCAGAAGGACTCCTGATGGATCAGGATGGGGGGTGGGAGGTGGAGAAAAGGAGGCGCAGAGGATGCTTGCAAGGTTTTGTAGACCATGAAGATAAGATATTGAGGGTCTAGTGAGCAGCCACGTAGCTGGTCGATGGGGGCCAGGGGATGGAGTACAGGAGTGGAGGATGGGCCAAGGTGGTACAAAGGCCCTGGTCTAGGGTAGAGCCTGGAGAAAGCTCATAGAGTGGAGGGAAAGGACTCTGTCACTGCTCATCATAAGCCAGTTCCCGGGCAGCTGGGCATTAATTTGATCCCTGGTGTTTTCTTCTTTCCCTGAATTCTCCTATGATGGCCTTTTAATTGGGTCCATTTGTTCCAAGACCATGGACTGAGCTGACCAGATGCCAGATTATTTGCCTATTATTAAGTAGATTAGGAAATGACTGGGCAGCCAGGAAAATCAGAGCACTGAGCAGTGCCTCTGAGGAGTTAACAGAGGCCTCAGTGCATGGAGGAGTCTACTCCAGGCTCCTTGCCTCTCCTGCACTGCCCCTTTGTCTGAAGGACCCTTCCCATTTCCCTGCCCTCCTTCATCCTCCCAGAAACTTTTGGTTGAACAGTCAGTGCTTACGTTTTGATATCACTCACAGCAACATCTTAGAGCATCCCATAATTACATGTTCTTTCCTGCGTATCTTTTGTTTTTCCTGGAATTAATGGTTATCTAAGAGGAACATATTCAGGTTTTGTTTTGTTTGGCAGTACTGGGGCTTGAACTCAGGGCTTTGAACTTGCTAGGCAGGTGCTCAACCACTTTAGCCACACACTCCCAGCCCTTTTTTGCCTTAGTTATTTTTAGGATAAGGTCTGACATTTTTTCGCCTAGGGAGGATCCTTCTATCTATGCTGCCCACATAGCTGGGATGACAGATATTCACCACCATACCTGGCTTGTTTATTGAGATAAGGTCCCATTAACTTTTTGCCTGGCTGGCCTTAAACCTCAATCTTCCTATTTCTGCCTCCTGGGTAGCTGGAATTACAACCATGAGCCACTGAGTCTGGCATGAAGGACAAAGGAAACTATAGATAAAGAAATTACACCTGTAATACCAGCATTCGGAAAACTGAGGCAGGAGGAACTTAAGTTTGAGGGCAGCCTGGGCTACACAGTGAGACCGTATCTCCAAAAATAATAATAGGGCTGGCTCAAGTGATA